GCAGGGTAAACATCCTTGGTGGAGAAGGTTGTGCAGCCCAGAACCTTTGTTGCAGCTAAAGATGTGATTGTGTCATCAAAAATGGCCAACACACAAAGATTATAGTCCACACCAGAAACCAGGTTCTTCAGCAGGAATCGATCACTGGTTGACGGTAAGATCCTAAAGAGGGAATAAAGGGGAAAAAGAACATAGGTCAGTTACATAAACATGGGCGATGCACAGAAATGCATAGCGTCTGCTGTAATTTGAAACCTGACCTCAATATTCTGACTAATCTGACCGAATTTAAGGAATAAACGGTTGAACATTGGGGAAAACAAGCGGAGGAAATGGGCGTAAAGGGAGGGCTAGAAACGGCACCGGAGTAAATACTGCAGTAGGGGAGTGAGGGGAAAATGAGGCTATTGATGGGGAGCGCGCCTAGGGAACATGAAAAGAGAACTCTGTCTGCTCATTTGGAGAGCAGGAGCGTGTCTACGTATGTGGGGATGTATTCGCATCTTTTTGGGAAGCAAACATCACAGCAAAACCGCACACATTTGGTCGTTTAAGGTTTAATTTCTGAATTAAAGTTAAAGTATAGTTGATGTGTTTGCTTTTCAGCAGAACTTATGAAATTTAGACGTATATAATCTGGCTTTGGTCTTTTAGAGTGCAGATGTTTTCCTGTGGGTCTGTAATGAGAGCTTGCGTGGGATAATAAAGAGAGAAGTGCTTTGAATGTGTCCTCATTTTAAGTGTTCAAGCAGCCGTTATAATATATATAACAAATGGGCGAGAGGTGAACAATAGAGGGATATTGGGGGGGTAAAGACGGTGAATCGAGGGAGCAGACGTTACATAAGTTGCATGTGACTTTTTTTTTTCTGTGTTTGCACCTGGATCTATGTTTGTATTTATGGGATGAGGGAATAAACGTGTGTTTTGATGCCAGTGGGTTTGTGTATGTGACATGCCAGGGTAAAGTGTGTGTGGGAGACTGAAGCGCACCTCAAGTGTCGCTGATGGGTATGACTCTGCCCTCTGCATTTCCAAACCTCTTGTGTGGGCAAGTATGTATTGTAGTTTTGTTTTGCTAACCAGAGTATTTTGTCAGTATTTCCTTTGTTTTTCCTCTGCATCACGCTGTCCAAGTCCTTTTTTTTTTTTTTCTCCATTCGCTTTCACGCTGCATCAAAGGGCTTATTTGTATCCTACGTTACTAACCATTTCAGCTCCCCTCAGACCTGAGCTACATCCTATAAATGCCATCTAGGATGACTCAGACATCCAGGGAGCTGCTGCAGAAGTCCCCTAACCTTATTCAGTATGTAATGCCTTCAAAATGGAGACCCAGAGACGGCAGCGGTTTGGTCTCGTTTTTCTTCAGTTTTAAATTGGGGATAATTGGCGCCTGTTATATAATGAAGCTTTTCAAATAAAACCAGTCTGATTGATAATTCTCACAGCCGTATTTATATCGATGTTGGTGTAAAGATGGGATTAGTCGTCTTGAATAATGCAGTGCTAGCTGGGAAATGAGAGGGGCCTTCTTGAGGCAAGCTACAGGCCAGAGCAGTGGATCTGGGTTATGGCAAGTAGGATTATTGATCATTTTCACCACCTCCTCAAAGCTTTAACAGTTAACAAAACATAAAGTTTTCTACAAATGTCCAGAATATCAACTTTTGCACTCGTATAATTTAAAAGAAAATGTTTTTTTTCTTCCTCTCTCTCTTTGCGAATAACAATGTTTCAAACAGTTGCACCGTTTTAGCAAATTGCCTGGGGTGATTTGAATAGCAAGGAAATGCTTCCAAACTTCTAATTTTCAGCAGAAGCTCGGTATGATTTTAACAAGAAATTACAACGTACTGTGGGACACTCCAGGTTCCCAGATAATCTGAGTAGACACATGGGGCATCGTCATTAAAGTCGTCCTCATCCAGCAGTCATTAGGTCGCTATAAAGTCCCCTCTAACACTGTTACAAATTTGCCCGTTAACTCGTGCTGTGCGGTGGAGCAGCTTGGGTTCCAGGTGTACGTTTCCATGGCAAAGGCTCATTATTTGACTCAGCAGTGTAGTCATTATACTAAGAGTACCCCTTCTTCTGATATCCACACACTAAGCACTCGGGACCAATCAACGTTCCTAGCTTCATTTTCCAGGATATTAGTCATGTCTTATTTTCTGAGAATTGACATAAAATTGCCAAAATTTTTCCATAGCAACATCATAAGCACATCAGCTTGAGAGATACCAATTACAAAAATAAAGCTGTACTTTGATACGCTAAGAAATGTGTATGCTGAAGCTAATTTAATCTTTCTCACAGAACTGTAAAGAAGTGTCAGAGATCTCTGAACTCATGGATATAAACT